AGGTCTGACAGAGGAGAATGTAACCTGTTAATTTTCTGAGATCACAGTCAGGGTCAGGAAGTAAGAAGGCACATATTGAAAAAAACCAGAGAATAGCTCTCAGCACATCAAAGCACAGAGATTTGCCTCAGAAGGCTGCTGGCAATTTGTAAAACGTCAAGTTTTTTCAGGTGCCTCACTGAAACGCGTAGCTATTTTGACAAGTGGAGGTAAGACATGGGGAAAAATCCTTAAGAGTGAACAGTCTGTGCCAAAAAAAAAAAAAAGTCAGATTTAGTACTGAGATTAAGGCAAACACAAAATATCAGCGTGCCCTGTGCCAAAGGAGTCAAGGAAAAACATAGCAACACAAGTTACTTTAATAGGGTAAATGCATTTCTAAATCTTTTTTTTCCTGTTCGCTGTACAAAAAATGTTGATGCTTAATACAGTGCCTGTTACCAGGCATATTGATTGTATCAGGTTCTATTTATTGTAGGCCCCATGACAAATGTGAGAAACTTTGAGGAATGACATATTATTGGTTAACGGATAGATGACAGTAAGAAGAGTGGTCAAATGGTCTGAGAACACCACCTGAATGGGCCAAATGGGGAACTCCAAGCGATCAGGAGTTGTATCGTTGACTTCAACAGTTAAAGACACGAAGTTTCTGCCTTGAGCAGAAAGCTAAGCCTAAAAGTGGCCAGGTAGCCCCCTTAAGCCCAGAAAACCCAAACGTGGCACAGATGAAGAAGTTCTCAGGAGAGAACTGGTTTGGCAGCCCACACCTTCCCTTGGCAGCCTGTCTGCAGCCCTGCTTCATCTAGATCCCTAGGCGTTGACTCTCTTTGAACTTAACGCTAGAAGAGCACAGAGCTTTAACACCAGACAGCCCCAAATGTGGCCCAGATAAAAAAGTCCCCAGAGAATTCCTTCTGCAGCCCAGACCTTCCCTCAGCAGCCCCACTCCAGCTAGACCCCTAGGAACTCTCTCTCTCCTCACCCTAAATGTGCCCAGGGCCTTAACCCCAGGTAAACCCAAACATGGCCCCGACGAAAGTCTTTGAAATCAATTCTTCTGCAGACCAAACTGTCCCTAGGCAGCCCCTTTGCAGATCCACCACAACTAGACCCCTAGGAACTGGCTCTCTTCTAACCCTAAAATTGCCCAGAACCCACTTGCTGCAGCCCAAACCCTCCTTTGGCAGCTTCTCTGCAGTCCCGCTCCACCTAGACCCCCCGACTTTGTCTCTCTCTGAACTGGAACCCTAGCCTTAACCCAAGGCATGTGCTGACCCTTACCCTAAGACCTCAAATATAAATAAATAAATAAGGCCAAAAGAAAAAATTGTTAAGGGAAACATTTCTGTGGCTAAAGTTTCCTTTGCAGCTTCACTCCATATATGCCACTAGGGTTTGTGTCTCATAAACGTAATGCTAACCATAGCCATGGGCTGACCCCAAGCCATGGCCAAGATGAAAAAGTCCTGAGGGAAGGATTCTTTTTGCAGCCCAAACCTTCCCTTGCCAGTCCATCTGCAGCCTCACTTCATCCGGGCCCCCGTGCTTTGCATGACAGCTCCAGCTGTGCCCTGCTCTCAGCTGAGCAAGCCCTCAGCTTTCCCCTTTCCTCTCCAAGACGGATGCTTCAGCAGTGTCTCCGTGTGTGCTCAGACTCGTCGTTTCGGTACCTACCTACTCAATGCCAAGGGTTCACTTACAGTAACTGCCCTTCTCCAGAGGAAGGAATCAAATCTTGGTTTGGCTCACATTGTCTCAACTCTTGATCCTTCAAGGGGCAAGCGTTTTAGCCCGTTCTTGACTTCTGATTTACCCTAGCACACCTACAACCTCTGGTGGCCAAATCCTAACTTACGTATTTAAATGTTATCCTTCTGACACACTTCTGAACAGCAGTGCAATAACAATCGGTCAGTAACTTCAGAAAGCAGAACACCTGCACTGCCGGTCTCATCCTTTGGCCTCAGCCAGCACGGGTGGTCAGTGGCGCACTGTCAGCCGTCACCTCTGACAGGCCCCCAGGTGCTCATCAGACAAGCCGCCTGCGAGCCACGGCAGCTGGCGACAGAGCAAAGGGAAG